TTTTTATCTTTTTCAAATTTTTTTTTCAAATTTAATCATAAAAATAATCAAATACTAATTCGAAGTTTATTTAACTAAAAACATAATGAATTTTCTTATAAAAAAATTATTTTATTTTAAATTAAATATATATCTTTTACTAATTAATTAGCATTTAAATAAATTAATAAAAAAAAAATTATTTATTTATTTTTATATCATCAAAAAAAAATATTAATATATAATTTCATTTAATCTTAAATAAAAAAAAAATATTCTTATTAGAATTAAAATAAATTATGAATATAATTTATTAAAATACTAAGAAAATAAAATATTAATATTATAATTTTTAACTAATTTGTTTTTATTAAAAAATAATATATATATTTTTATATATTTAAGCTATTTTTTTTATTTAAAAAAATTAATATTTTTAGTAGAATATTAGATTCTTAATTATAAAAATGAAAAATTTTAAGTTTTAACACATTTACTAATCTTAAGAAGAATAATAAAAATAAATTTTGCCTTAAACAGACATATCAAAGTAAAGAATTATACAAAAATAACATAAATAAAAAATATTTTTTGTAAAGTTTTGAATAAATCGAATTATTGATTGACTATATGCCACATAATTAACTATTTATTGTTAAAAATAATAGAGTTAATATAGATAAATAATAATTTTTTTCTAATATCAATTTATATAAAAAATAATAATAAGGATTAGTTTTTTAAAAATGAAAGTAAAAGAAAATCTCTATATTAGTAATTACTATTAAGAATATAAGATAGATCTATAGTATTTTATTATTTTATTATTATTAAAAATATTTTCATAAAGAAGATATAAACCCCTAGTTCTAAATATTGTAGTGTCTGTAGAAGATTTTATAATGATTATTTTGAGGTTTATTTTTTAAAAAAATAAAAATAAAATATAAAAAAATAAAAAGCATGTAAACTCAGAATAACATGAAAACAATTATAATAATAATATAATTACATTTGAAATATAAAAATTAGAATAATACATTAGGGAAACTTAAAACGATTTATAAGAAGATAAAAAAAACACGAATTTTGTAGAAATATAAGCTGGTACTACTACAACAAATATTTTAGGAAACTAAAATACTTTAAAAATAAAATAAAATTTTAATGATAAAATGTAATTAATATTTTTATTTTTTTTGTTAACTTAAAATATATTAAATAAAAAAATAAAATTAAGTAATGAAATAAGCTAAATTATTCTTAATTTTAATATATAAATCAAATAAGAAATAAAGAAAGTAAATTAATTATTTAGAGATTAGTAATGATATAATTTATTTTTATAAAACATTTAAGATCAGGCTCCTTAGATAGAATAATAGTAAAATTATAAAAAAATAAAAAATAGAATTAATTGTTTTTTTAGAATTAAAAATTAGAATTTTAATCTTTTTTTAAATTATAAAATTATATGAATTACTTACATTTATTTATATATAATCTTGTATTTAATATATATTGTTTATATTAAAAAATTATTGTATTTAAAATAAATTTTAAATTATTTTTTGGTTAAATAAATATTTTATATATTAAATTTTATCAATAAATAATTATATTAAAAAAATGTCGTTTAATCCACATGAAATATTAAGCAGATTGAGAAATTGTTAAACAACATAAAATTAAAATTCGGGTTAGAAAAATTTAAATCCTTTTAAAAAAGCAAAAGTTGTAAATAAATAATAAAGCCTTAACTTTGAAAATTCAAATATAAAGTTAAACAATTGTTCAAATAACTTTTAAGATTAAAATAATTATTTAGATAACTAAGTATTAGAAAATAAAGATAACATTTCCTTTAAATTAAATAGTACAAAATTTAATTAATGTGATAATGTAAATGAATATAATAATACTATTAATAATAATACCAATAACTAAATTGTTTGTAAATTAATTGACAGAATTAGTGCTTTAGAGTAACATGTAACTAATTTAGAAAAGCAGCTTCAAAATGCAAATTAAGAATTAAATATTTTAAAATAAAAAATAATAAATGCAAACCAAAAGTCTAAATTTTTTAAATTTTTTTTTTTTTTTTTTTTATAATAAAAACAAAAGACTATATAAACATGTAGAAATTATAATGAAGTAAATAATGAATTTGTAGATTAATTTGGTGATCAAATGGTATTCTTTTTTATTTATTTTAATTTTAATATATAAATATTTTAAAATAAAATTTAGAATCTTAATGTTTCTTGTAAAAATAATTTATAAAAAAAAGAAAGGAATTTTAATCCATTTGCTTAAAAAAATTCTAAATAGAATAATTAATCAAAGGTTGCAGGAAAATTAAATTTAGAATAACTATAAGAAATATACAAAAATAATCCAAATATGTAAAGACCCGTTATACATATAAAATTAACAGAATAAGATTTTAATTGAATTAATTAAATATATCAAATAAATGAAGCTATTTTATGTTATTAAAATATATCAAATTAAATAAAACTAAATTAAATTAAATATAAATAATATCGTGCCATGAAAATAATAAAAAAAATTAATTTTTAATTATAAAATAAATATTATTTTATCTTTTATAAATATGATTAAAAATATTTAATTTTTTTTTTTATTATAATTATTATCTTAAAAATTAATAATTTTTAATATATATTTTTTTTATTACTTTATTCTAATATAGACTATAAAAATTTTGATATAGAAATATTAATTCTAAATAACATAAAATTTTATAATATATAATTAAAATTAAAAAAATTAAGCAAATTTATTATTTTATAATATTTTAATAAAAATAAAATTTTAATTTATATTTAAATAAATTTCATTATATCTTTTTATATATTTATAATTTTTATTTATTTTCAGCTATTAATTTTAAATATATATTTATAATTTTTATCGAAATCAATGTTTATATATTATTTATTATTTTAGAATTTATGTTCATCTACTCCATTAATTAATTTAACTTTTCTCATACTATTACTTTTTTTGAATAATGTATTAGAAGTATTAGAAGGTTAACTACTCTAATAAAACTCTAACTAATTTAAAGCTTTTTTATTTTTTTATGAAGTTTCTTGTAATTAATTAATTTAATCTTTTTCTATTTTTTATAATTATTTTAGAATTAATTTCTTTTCTTCAGTTTATTTTAATTTAAAATTTTAATTTTCACTTTATTATTAATAAATAAAATTTAATTTGTTTTAAAAGAATTAATGTTATTTCTATTTTTATTTTTTTTCAAATTCTCGTATTTTTTAAACTTTCCATCTTTTGTTATCATATTGTTTTTATTATTCAATTGTTTATTAAACATATGATTAAGCAATATCGTTTTTCACAAATTAACCTGCTTCTTTATTATATTCTTTTAAAAATTATTTTGATATTTAACATTTTAATTAATTTATTTTCATTTCTTATTAAGTTTTTTCTATTTTTTCTCTATTAATTAACTCTTTTTACTGCTATTATTATTTCTATTTTAATAATAATTATATAAAATAATTATATTCTTTTTTCATTACTTTTATTTAAATATTTTTTTTCTTCTCAATTATATCATATGCTTTTTTAGTTAATTCTTCTGCTTTTTTCTTTAATTAAGCATCTTCTTATTGTAGTTTATTTATTCTGTTTTATAGATTATTTAATTTAGATAATGATTCCTTATTTCCTTATTTAGCTTAAAATAAAGTGCAAATACATTACTAATTATTACTTTAATCGTTTGAATTTAAAATCTCAATTAATTTTTGATTAACATGTTATTGCAAAGATGGAGATTTTTAAAGAGTTAAAGAATTTTATTTCTTCATTTATATGATTATTATTTATTTATAATATATAATTTTATTAGAATAAAATTATATTCATAAATTTTTTAATAAAAAAATACAATATATATTTTAATAATTAATAAAATTAGTAAATTAGTAAAAAACAAAACAATTATAATATATATATATATTGTATGCTTTTTATATTTATGATTATATTTATTTTAGAAATTTTATTTATATTTTTTTTTTTTTTATATAATTTTTTTTTTTAATAGTATTTTTTCTCATTCTTATTAAATTTCCTTTTTTTTTTTTTTTAATAATATGTTTTATATAATATTTTATATTTTAAATACTTAAATTTTAATTTCGATATCATTTTTTTATTTAGATAAATCCGATAATTCATTTTAAATATTTGATAGTTCAGTTTAAGTAGATATATCTTACAATAAACTTTTGTTCTAGTATATATGCTAATTAGTTTATTTAATTTACTGAAGATTTTGATTATTATGACAATAAAAGTCATTTAAATTACTTTACTTATTATTACGATTGTAAATACTATATTAATAATTATTATTTTATATAGTATTTTTTTATTTTAGTAATTATTTATGAAGCTATTTTAATTGTGGTTAATATTTTAATATAAATAGTTATTTGTTTATTATTAATTATATTGATTTAATTAATTGTATAATAATTTATTATTATTCCAATTTTAGTTTTAATAAGTATAATTATATTTGTATCGGTAATTATTTTAGAAAACATGATTTTATTATTATTTTTTTTAGTTTTATTAATTATTATATTAGTTTTATATATTATTATTAAAGCTTTATTTATTATAAGTATAGTTTTATTTATTATTATATTATTTATAATTATTATTATTTTAATTTTGATATTATTTCTAATTATTATTAGTTTAAAAATATTAATAATTATAGCATCTTTATTTTTAATTAAAATTATATTATTATTGCTTATTTTTTTAATAATTATTAGTTTTATTATTATTATTTAAAATATTACTATTGTAATAATTTTAATTTTTATTCATTTAAGTGATATTATTATTATTATATTAATTTTTTCTATTTAAATTTTTTTGTTAGTTTTTTGTATAATTATTATCATTATTTTCATTATTTGCATTATTTGCATTATTTTCATTATTTTCATTATTTGCATTATATTAATCATAATTGTTTTAATTTTATTTTTAGTTTTATTATTAGTATTTTTATTGTTTTTTTATGTTAAATCTAGTTTATCCCATCCATAAAGTTCTATCATATTGTTATAGTCTTATTATTTTTTTAATTAAACTATTTTATATTTTTGTTTAAAATAAATAATTTTTTTTACTTTTATGTTTTTCAATATTCTATTATTCTTATTCTTAATGTATATCATTTAATTCTTGTTTAATTTAATTTTAAATAGAATTCAGATTTGTTTATTCTTATTAATCATTTTCATTAATTTTTTCTTTTTGCTCTATTCCATTTTATAACTAATATTTTTCTTATTTTTTTTTAAGTTATAATTTTTAATTTTTGTAATTTATATTAACATTTTAAGTATCTTATATACGGTTCATAAGTTATTATAAATATTAGTTATCTTATTTGTCTTTTTTCTGATTTCCTTCTATAAATTAATCTTATAATTAAACGTCTTATTAATTTTTAATATTTTAATCATTTTAAACAGATATATAGTATTCATCATATTTTTCTTAAATATTTTTATAGTCTTAATCTTAGTATTATTAAAATTAAATATTTTTATCTTCAATACATTATATTTATTTATTGTTTTCTTAATTAAATTATATTTATAAGAAATTTTATATGTTATAATTTATATCATAATTTTAAATATCTTAAAGATAATTTATATTTTATTATTATAAATCTTAGATATATGTGTTATTATTATTATTATTATTTTAATCATTTTTTTTTTAGCATTTTATTATTAATTTTCATATTTATTTTCTTAATTTTAATTTTAATCATTTATATATTTCTTTTACAAAGTTACTTCATTAATTTCTTCCTTATTAATTAAATTTTTTTATATATTAATACAATTATAAATTTCTAATTTTCCTGTTTGATTATTTTCTATTTATATATCTTTATTGTTTTTAAATTCATATTTTGTCAAAACTTACATTTTTACTTCATTTTTCAATTCTTTTTCTTCTAATATTATTAAGATTTATTTACTTTCTTAATTAATATTATTTTTTTCAATATTTTTTATATCAATTTTTTATACATTTAATTCTTAATTTTATTAATTTTTTTATAATTCTTAATTTTTATCATCTTCTTTTTCTTTTATTTAACATTTTTAATGATTAGAAATTTCCTTCATTAAAGGGAATAAATTTATTTCTTAATTTTATTTCTTTTAAAATAAATCATCTATATTTTCTTATTATTATATTCCTTAAGCTTATTCTAAATAATGATCATCTATATATTATTATAAAGTGTTAATTTCCACAAATTCTTTTTATTTAAATGGATTTTCCTATTTTTTTAAAAAATCTTCTTTAAATTAATTTTTCGAAAATTGTTTATTATTTTCAATTTATATTTCTATTTTTTAACAAGTATTATTATTTTCTTAATATTTTTAAGTTTTTTATTAAATTTAATATAATTATTAGTTTTTTTATTATTTTTATATTATTATTTATAATTAAAATTTTTATAATATTATTATAAGTTTTATTATTACTTTTAATATTTTTTTTATTAATATATTATCCATTCTTCATTATTTTCTTTTTCATTTATTTTTTCTTATAATTTTTAAATTTATTCGCTATTTGTAATTTCTATTAAGATTTCTTCTTTACATTCATTATCTATTTATTGCAATTAAATTTTATTTTCACTTTTTTATTCTATAACTACTTCCTATTATTGTAAGTCAAAAAATAATTCTTTGTTCGTTATTTTTGTTTAATCTTTTTTAAAATCTGAATTCAGATATTCATTTTGTTTATCTATTTATAAAGATTCTTCTTAAGTATTTTCTTTCTTTAAGAAGTTTTTACTTTCTTGAAGTTAATCCACTTTATTATTTTCTTATCCTTATTTTGCTTCTTCCTTGCTATTTAGTTTTTCTTCTTGAACTTTTTTTGTTCTTATTCAGATTTTCCATTTTATTGATTTTTACTTAAATTTTCTTATTCATTATTATTTTCATTTTAAACTTTAAAAAAGTTTAAAAAAATATAATATTATTAATGAAAAATATATTACCTATTTAATCTATATTTTCTTTAGAATTTTAATCTATTTCTTCATCTGATGTTTTACAAAGTTCATACCAAACTATAGTTTTTTTTATTAATATTTTAAAATATTTATGATTCTTTGTTTTACATATTTTTTTGTTTTATTTTGTATCAGAAGTATTCTAATAACAAGATTGTTAAGTTTCCATTTTTTATTTTTTTTATTGTTAATAATTATATATTTATTAAATAATTAAAATTCTAAAATAATAAAATAAGAATTTAAATTAATCTTTAAAAAATAAAAAAATTAGCTAATTAAAAAAATAATGATAATAAATTATTAAAAATTATAGCTAAAATAAAGGAAATGAATAATAATATTAAATTCAGACTAAAATATTAACTATTAAAAAATAATTATATTTATTTTAAAATGAACAGAAAGATTTTAATTTATATATAAATAATTAATATATATAAATAAATTGAAAATTATTTGCTGTTTCTTTGTCCATAAAAAAAATTATAGTAAAATTAAATAAATAAATAATATATTAATCTATCAAACTAAATCAAAAATATATGTGTATTAAACTGAAAATAAGCAAAACTAATATTTTATAAATATTTTTTTTAATATTAATTCTTTTTGCTTAAAAATAGTTAATTATAATGTTTTTTTTTTATTAAAATATATATTAATAATTCATTTTTAATTATTTAGGTTAATATTTTCCTTATAACTATTTTCATTAGAACTTTTTTAACTAATACTTTTATTGAAATTAATATAACTCAAAAAATCCTTTTTTTATTAAGAACTAAATGAAAAAATTTATCCTTATTTTTTTTTGTTTATATCCTTAAGGCTTCTTATCAAAAATTTTTGTTATTTTTAAATATATATATTTTATTTTTATTTATCCTTAGTTTTTTAATTTAATAACTCTTAAATATAACCAGATTTATATTATTCATCTTCTATATTTTATAATTATTATTAAAATTAATTTTCTAAAGTGTTTTCAAAAAAACAATTATAAACTTAAAAATCACAAAAATACTAAAGAATCCCATTTTCTGAATGATAATAAGCTTAATAATATTTATTATTTTTCAGAGTTTTGCTCAAATATAGATTAATAGGCTTGTTTAATATTTTAAAGGCCTGAAATTATTATTTAATCCAATAATTATTCTAAATAAACTAGTATTAATTTTCATTATTATTACATATTGAATTATTTATTTCAGTTTTTTTAGAAGTAGAAGTCATTCCTATATTTTGAATAAAAATAATTCCATTTTAAAAATATATTTATGATTATCCTTAGGCTTCAAAAGAAAATTTAAAAATATTAATATCTTATGCTTTTATGCATAAAACTAGTTAATTATATATAAAAAGTTTATCAATTTTTTAAATCAACTTTTATATAAAATCTTTATGTTTTACTTTTATTATTTTTTAATTGTAATGAAAGATATATCTTTATATGTATAATTCCTATTATTAATTAATTTCTTTAATTTAATTACTATTTATAAGTGAAAATTCAATTTTTATTTCTAAATAAAATTGATAGTTTTTGGGTTTAAGATTTAAATATGAATTTTCATATTGATTTTAAATTTTTATTATATTTAATTACATTTTAAAACAATATAAAACAAGTTTTTTTATAATTATTTATATTTAGGATAGGTTAATTGTAAATGCTGATTTATTTTAGTTTAAAAATTTGGGTTACAAATGATCTAAAATAAAAAATTCTTACTATTAATATTATGAATTTTAGACAAATATAAGTCTTTTTTCATCAAATATTATTATTATTTCTTTTGAATTTTTAAAATGATTAAACAAAAAACTGATTTGTGAAATAAATATTTAATCGTCAAAAATAATCATCTCAATAAATTATTAATTTGACATTTATTAAATATATTTTTATGTTATTAAATTATATTAAAAAAAAAATATTATTTAATAATAATTATATAATTTAGAATCAATTTTTAAAAAAATCCAAAAAAAAGTAGCATAAAAAAATTAAATGTTATTATGAAAATTAAATCATAATAAAAAAAGAAATTAAAAAAAATATGTTAAATTAAGTAAGAAAAATATTTTATATAAAATATAAATAAATAAAAAAAAATAAATAATATAAAAAAGACGTATATTAATAAAATATTTAATATATTTATAAATTAAAATATAACCTTTATTTTTTTATTTTATTTATTATTAAATAAATAATAAAAATGAATTAAAAATTTATTTTTTCATAATTTTCTACTAATGTATAAAAAGCTAAAAATTAATTAGAATATAGAAAAGAATACAGGGTAATTGTAGAAAACGAAGCAAAGAATTTATAAAAAATATGTGAATAATTAAATATTTAAAGAGAGTCAATATAATCTTAAGAATTATAATTAAATACATAATAAAAAAGAATAACAACTAAGATACAATAAAAATAATTATTATATAAATAATCTTCTGATTAAGTATAAATTTTGAAATAATTATAATAAAGTTTATAGCTTTAAAAGTATTAAAACTTAAAAGAATTTATTAAAGATAAACAAGAATTAGAAGTTTTATAGAAATAAAGAATTTAACTTTAATAATTATTTCAATAATAAAATAATAATTTAGAAAGTATAACTGCAGAAAGATGTGCATTAAAAGTTAAAAATGCCATATATTTTATTATTAAATAGATATTCATATTATATTATTAAAAAAAATTAGAATCAATTTGTTTAATCAGATGGTGTTTTAGAAAAATATTAATTTAGAATATGGAATTTAAAATAAGATATGTAATCAATGAAAATGTTATTTAAGAAGCAAGCAATTCTAAAAAAAAAAATTTAAAATAAGCATGATAAAATTTGTTTTTATATTATATTTTATCTATACATTTATGTTAAATTAAAAATTAATAAATAAATTTGATTTATTATAAAACAAAATTATT